CTCACAATTTACTTGAGCATTCATCAGTAATTATCAAGATATATGAGAAAAGCACTTGAAAGTGTATTGAAGTAGAATTATTTTTCTTATTCAATTTCTAATGACTTTGAACTGCAGGAACATTTAGAAGAATCTGTTCAAGGAGTCCCAAATAGTCGTGAGATGCTGGGAGATTCAGTAGCTTGGGGAGGCTGCACATTAATATATTTACTTGGGCAGCAGCTGCATTTTGAGCTTTTTGATTTCTCATATCAAGTCCTTAACGCAGCAGAAGTCGAGGTTACAGAACTTACTCAAATGCATAAAAATGTTCAGGGTATCCAGGTAAGACTTATTATTATCCCATTGTTATAAAAAGGATTTTGATTTCTATTTACCATATGCCTTCGGTTGTACATATCTTTGAATGCTGCAAAAACGTTGTCCTGAAATATCTCGATTCCCCAAAAAACTTTATAATGCATCTCACAGAAGCATAAACCTGAGTCCCGAGTCAACTAAGCACAGAAACTTTTGTTAATTTGTGCTGATGAACTGATTACTGAGAACAAATCTTTATTGGACCACTCTCTTAGATCTACATATGTCTGAACTCTGAAGTAATAAATGATCGTACATGTGTATAAATCTCCTCCTTGGACATAAAGATAATGTTATGTTGTCAGAATTATTTTGATTTTTGACTTTATTACTTTGAATCCATTTTCTGTCAGCCAATCACAAACATGTAATGGTAAAAAATTAGACTCCATGCTTTATCTAGGGATTCTAGACATCCCTAAATGACACCACATCTGGATTTACAGGGACAGGTTGGGGTGTCAAGGTGTGCTATAAGAGTTTTCCCAATTTTGATTGATAGGAAAACTTAATTCTGAATGGCTGAATAGGAATTGCTGGGGGAAGAATAGTTTATGGTAAAAATTTTAACCTGTGGCATGGACTATGAAGACAATAGTGATCCTGGGAGGAATACTCTTATTTTAGAAATAGGGAGACATCTCCTTATAAGAGATTCCCCTTATTGCTTTGATTCTTGAACAATGTTGCCGAAGAATCTGACTCATAATTCAGATTTATGACCTATGCTTTATGGAAGTTGTTTAAAATGTTTTGTGATACATTCCTTTAACACCTCAGAGTTAAACTGATTTTTCTGCTTTTTGGACTGGAAGGGATGGGAACCCTTGATAGAAGCCATGAAGAAAGCAAGGAGGTTAAATAATCACGTGTTTTCAATGCTAAAAGCTCGTTGTCCTCTTGAAGACAAGGTAGCATGCGCAATAAAGCAAAGCGGAACACCTCTGCATCGAATCAAGTTCGAAAACACAGTTTCGGCTTTTGAAACCCTTCCACAGAAGAGCACCTAATTCTTTACCTGTGTTAATACAGCTGATTCAGGTTAGGTAGTTTGATAGATTCCAACTTATACTGAAGAGAGCTAGTATCAGCTACTTTCAAGCCGCAGTAAGAGAATTGCCAGGGTGTATCTGTATACTAGAATTGCTGAAGTAAATACTTGTTATTACTATCTCACTATCCAAACACTGTCGCTATCGAAATGCGGGTTGGCTCAAGTGCTACTTCATGATCAAAATGGAGAAACTGCAAATGCTAGCAATAGTTGCTGGACTCGTCAATTTTCAGCATTAATGGAGCGTCTCACCACTTTCTTGTCACACTGCAACAGGTTGTCACAATATATGTTGTCAACTTGCCATGTATTATAGTATATGTTTGGTTTGTGACACTTTGTGTAATTGACTATTTGTGTATCAATGTATCTAATGTGTTATGTATACGTAGTATTGTGTAATTATCATGCATGTCATAATCCTGTAGTAGTATTTTATGTAATTGGATAATGTTGATTGTTTAAATGCGAATAACTAATTAATCATAGAACTGTCTGGGTGCATTGATGAATACACATTGTCAAGCAAGTAAATTAATTACTCTTATAGTCTTATCATATCTTCCCCATTGAAAAAAAACGGAGTACGGCGCTACGATTAGATAAATAATTATATAAAATAAAATAAAAAAAGGGAATAAAATTGAGTGAAACATCAAAATTCAAACGTGTTATTGTCATTATTACTTTTTTAATTTTTTATTTTTCAGATGCAACACTTTTATATTTATTTGTGACATTAATAAATTTCGTTTTGGGTTCATTAAATATTCCTAAGCATTACTTTTAATTCCTTAGCACATTTAAGTGTCAAAGTTAAAGAAAATAAGATGAACAGTGAACCTCAAGGGAGGGAAAGGGGAGGTGTATGTTGATAATGATCGAACTTTATTTAAATGATAGAAGCCCAAAGTTAAGAGCCTTTTTTATTCAACAAAATAATGAATGTTTGGTGAATTGCTTAATTATAAATCATGTGCCCTTAAATTATTGGTCAGATTACATATGTCGTGAAAAAGTCAGAAACAATATTTTTAGATCCAATTATAATTATGATATTGCTTCTGCCGTGGAAGGTATTTTTAAACCTCTTTGTCCACCACTAAAGTGGTGTGTGCTATAGAGTGCCTAAACCTTTTGACCTTTTTTTTTTTTTTTTTTTTTTTTTTTTTTTTTTTTTTGACGAGGACCTTTTGTTCATCAAAAGACTTAACATTTAATTAATTAGACCTTGCAAAAAAGATATAATTCGTATATACCGAGTAAGTTTTTATCAAAGACTAAATACTTAATTAGTTACACCTTGCCAAAAAAAATAAAAAAATAAATAAAAAAAATAAAAAAAATTGTCATATTGTATTAGGAAGGGTATGTGAAAAAATATAGTATTATATTTTGTTGTTCCATACTCTTATTTCTTTTTTGACATTTTCCCTTATTTGTTATGTTTTACATATTTAAGGAAGATGAAAGACCCTACTGAATCGGCACCCCTCACAGGTTTAGGCAGCCCAGCTTCGCGGTCAACATTTGAGATTAGAGGGAGGAAATAAGGGAATCCCCCTACTCCCAAGCATTTATTTATATAATTCCAAAGCAGTTATTCTCATTTTAACCCTAAAATATTATGTTTAATTTGTTTAGAAAATTGTATATTAATCATGAGCATCCATTATATCCATTTTCTTCTAATTGTTAAAAACGTAACAATTGAAAATAAACGGATGGAGTAAACCAAATGCCATTCATGTTTATTTCTTGTAGGATATGAAGTTCATATGCATAAACACAAAGCAAAATCATGCTTACCCTTTGTGTTATTTTTTCCTCACCTTATATTTGCCTTATTCTCGTCCAACTTCCCATTAGATAAGGTAGGAAGATCTTCCAATGTACTCTTTCATGGAAAAAATCTTACATCTTTTCCTTTCACCGCAAAAATTTAAGAGAGAGCCTCAGTTAATATCTGAGATTAACATTTCAAGTTAATCTCCTCTCACAACTTTATGCATTAGTTTTTCACTTTTTCTATCACTTTACTATTTCATACTAGAGTCCAACCTCCCACTAGGCCACTATGGTTATTCATTTGCATTCTAGTGGAGATTTTCCTCCATAGTTTTTTTTTTATTTTTAAAAAAAATAATAAAAAAATAAAAATAAATAAATTAATATCTTCTTGTTCAAGATTAGTCATTGCGTTTTGAGGTTAGTATTTACACTAAATATGGTTGGACTCAGTTAAGTAGGGTGCTATAAGTTTGGAATATAATGATTATTAATCCAAAAATTAGATACAACATGATAAGCATCAATAATGAAACCAACTCAACCCGTTAATTTTTATTTACTAAAGACTTTGATACGAAGTACATAGCATTAGAAAATTTTGGGCACGGGCAATGTCCCCTGAATCTATCCTTAGACTAATTGAGATATTTTCGGTCACCATTACACGCCAAAATTGAAATTGTAATAGGATAGTTTGAACTACCAATTGAGATATCACTTGTAACTTAAACTATACTTTCAACTTGGCCTTGGTGTTTGACTCGATTTGTGAGTTGCATTCGTTATTTCCTTAGGCCATACATCACCAAGTCGCAAGGCTGATTAGCAAATAATAGTTTTTAAATTTATAATGTGTTATTTTAGCACTACAATAACATAGTCCAATTTATTTGCTGTACTATGCTAATTTACTGAATAATCAACTTGCTACTTGTACTAGAACTTGTCAACTTGGCTTTTCTACGCTATTGTTTTTGACTTTTTTTTACAAGTCTTGACTTAATTCCATTCGACCTACAAATCTCTGACTTATTGACTTAGTGTGAGTCCTCTCAAACGATATTTTCATTCCCAGTTTTCATTCGACTTTGATTTTAAAATTACGGATATTATGTGCTTTTTGAGATAATTATAATAATACTACAATAAACATCTTATTTGATTGGTTATTTAGTATTTATTAATTCAACTAATTTAATACGATTAGAGGTAGGAGATAGATGCATTAATTAGTTTAAGCTTAGGATGGGTTAAATTGGATCGGATCATATTCAAGTGAGAAGTGCTTTGGTTTTAGATTGAGTCAAAAGAATTATTAGGCAAAGAGTTGTCTAATTCTTTTTTTTTTTTTTTTTTTTTTTTTTGGTGTAAATCGATTAGAGTTGGGTAAATTTTAGTTTGGATGGTAGACATCCACGAGACCTAGACAAGACAAAACTGACTTGATTTGAATGATTTAATTTATATACAGAACTCATTTCAGTCATTTGAAATAAGATGACTCGAATTTGATCTGAACCAAAATTGAGTCAACCAAGATCAAAAGCAGGACGATAAATCCAAAAGTATTTAAACTCATTCCGTTTCCAATTTAAAAGACTCATCACCCAATTTCAGGTAATTAACCCCCTAGATAAACCCAACTCATACCCAAACCAAACGTCTAGATTTGCTAATCGCAAATGCCACCTCAACACGGCCTTTAAATTAAAAAATGTGAATTTAAGAGATCACTAAAGAGTGGGAAAGTGACTTTTTGGGAAAATCTGTCATTTTCCTGTACTGAAAACCAAGCAAAGAGGGAAAATCTCACTTGTTTTTTTTAAAAAAGAAACGTATTTATAATAATAATCTTCAAATATGATATCCACTTCTGGTGGGTTGCTTGCTTCTGTATCTGAAGAGTTGGCCACTTTTCTAAACCCATTAAAATATTTTACCAAGCTTTTCAGACGGCATGATATGAGAGGGATCCCATAAATGGTGATTTTGCATGCTTTGTCGGCCATTTTCATCTTTTATTTTCTTCTCAATCACATAAATTGTTAACTAAATGATTGTGTTTTTTTAACAATTTTATTTAGATGGGATTTTCAGTCTTCCTCTTAATCATCACATAAAGTTTATTCTAATTTGATTTCTTCAACAATAATTTTCAAATTGGATAAAGTTTTTGAGTGAAATTTCATCAAAGTCAAATACTTTCTTCTGCCTAAAAATCATTTTTGTGGGAAAGTTGAAAACTTTTTGCCTAAAAAAGTTTTTTTAAGGTATGCAAATTCTATTCTTTCCTACACCATTGACTTCATTTTCAATGAATTTTTCACAAACAGTTTTGATTGCAGAACTTTGGGATGATTAAATTGGGTTTATTTTGTATGTAAATAACTATAATCTTAATTTTTTGTAATTTTTATGTAATATTTTCAGTTTTTCTCTTAGGTGAATTGTGAACTGGGTTGTATTGATTTTGGGGTTTTGAAACTAACTTTGTAATGGGTAGTTTAAACTTGTCAAATCATTACAAGATTTTGATTGTATTTCTTGTTGTAAATACTCTTTTGAGTGATCAAACAAATGCCCTTAATTTGGAGGGTCAGTACCTTTTAGATTTGAAGAGTAAAGTAATTGATAAATTTGATGATCTGGGTAATTGGAATCCAATGGACCAAAACCCTTGTAAATGGAAAGGTGTATTATGTAGTAATGATAGTAACCCAGTTGTAGAATCTCTTAATTTGAGCAATATGAATCTAACTGGATCAATTTCTCCTAGTATTGGTGGATTGGTTCATTTGATTCATCTTGATCTGTCCTTTAATGGGTTTTATAAGGACATACCCAAAGAAGTTGGGAACTGTTCCAATCTTCAAACTCTATCTTTGCAGAACAATCGTCTTGAAGGAAACATCCCTAAAGAGTTGTGCAATTTGTCAGCTTTGACCTATTTGAATGTCTGCAACAACAAGCTTTCTGGCCCTATTCCTGAGGTGCTTGGTAATATGTCTTCTTTGTCAGAGTTTGTGGCATACACTAACAGTCTCAGCGGTCCGTTGCCTCGTTCCATAGGGAACCTGAAGAACTTGAGAAGGTTTAGAGTGGGGCAGAATTACCTTTCTGGTAGTATTCCTGCAGAAATTGGTGGATGTGACAGTATGGAGTTGTTTGGTCTTGCTCAAAATCATTTGAGTGGGAACATCCCTAAAGAGCTCAGTTTGCTAAGCAACTTGACTGAGTTGGTTCTTTGGGGTAATCAGTTATCAGGGACTATTCCGTGGGAGCTTTCGAATTGCACGTATTTGCAAACTCTTGCTCTCTATCAGAACAATCTTGTGGGTGAAATACCTAAGGAGCTTATGAATCTTAAGTTCCTTAATAGTTTGTACCTATACAGAAATGCTCTGAATGGGACTATTCCAAGAGAGATTGGGAGTCTTTCTGCAGCAAAAGAAATTGATTTTTCAGAAAATTTATTGACTGGAGAAATTCCTACTGAAATTAGTAAGATTGAAGGGCTGGAATTGCTGTACCTGTTTGAGAATCAGCTGACTGGTGTGATCCCTGAGGAGCTTACAAACTTGAAGAATCTCAGTAAAGTCGATCTCTCGATAAATTTTCTGACAGGTACAATTCCTGTAGGATTTCAGAATTTGCCTCAGCTCCTGATGTTGCAGCTTTTCAACAATTCTCTTGGAGGTACAATTCCTCAGGAGCTTGGATTGCGTAGCCGGCTGTGGGTTCTTGATCTCTCCTCGAATAATCTGACAGGAAGAATTCCTCAGAATCTTTGCAGAAACTCTAACTTAATTTTGTTAAATCTTGGTGCAAACAAGCTTTCAGGAAATATCCCATCTGATATCATCAGCTGCACACCACTGGTTCAGCTTCGCCTGTATGATAATCGTCTCACTGGAAGCTTTCCAACTGATATCTGCAAGTTAGTGAACCTCACTGCGGTTGAATTGGGAGTAAATCATTTCAGTGGTCCAATCCCACCTGAGATTGGAAACTGCAGGAACCTACAAAGGCTTCTATTGGCGTACAACCACTTCACATCGGCTTTGCCTGCATCAATTGGCAAGATTACGCAGTTGGTGTCCTTTAATGTCTCATCAAACTCACTCAGTGGACCTCTACCATCTGATATCTTCAAATGCAGCTTGCTACAACGTCTTGATCTCAGCAGGAACAATTTTGTAGGCACCTTGCCTGATGAAATCGGAACTCTTTCTCATTTGGAGCTTCTCAAGCTTTCTGACAACAGGTTCTCAGGTAGAATACCTGCAGTTATAGGGAACCTCCCTCGTTTATTCGAGTTGCAGATGGGTGGAAACTTGTTTTCTGGAGAAATCCCTCCAGAATTGGGTAGTTTATCAAGCCTTCAAATTGGTTTGAATATAAGCTACAATAATCTATCTGGGAAGATCCCCTCAAAGCTCGGAAATCTTGCATTGCTTGAATATCTCTACATCAATAACAATCAGTTGATTGGCCAAATTCCTACCTCATTGCAGAGACTATTAAGTTTACTCGGGTTCAACTTTTCTTACAATGACCTCAGTGGTCCTATACCTTCTATGCCTGTTTTTCAGGGTGCAGCTCTTTCTAGTTTTGCTGGCAACAAGGGTCTCTGTGGCGGGCCTCTTGGTCCTTGCAGTAACATCGACTCTTCACTCTCAATTCCTGGTAATTCTGGAAAGGGTGGTTTCCGTCTTGGTAAAATTGTTGCTATAATTTCAGCTGTTATAGGTGGTGTTTCTCTATTCTTCATTGTGGTGATTTTATACTTAATGACTCGCCCAGTCGATATTGTTACCCCACTGGAGGATAAGTCCCTCAGTGATATAGATTCAGATATGTACTTCTTTCCAAAGGAAGGATTTACTTTTGAAGACCTTCTTGCAGCCACTGATGATTTTCATGACCGATTTGTGATTGGTAGTGGAGCTTGTGGGAAAGTGTACAAAGCAGTTTTACCTTCTGGTAAAACTTTTGCTGCAAAGAAGCTGGCATCAAATAAAGAAGATGGAAACATCAATGACAGCTTCAGGACAGAAATTTCGACTTTAGGTAAAATCAGGCATCGAAATATTGTAAAGTTGCACGGCTTCTACTTTCATGAAGGTGCCAATGTTCTCCTTTATGAGTTCATGCCAAGGGGTAGCCTCGGAGAACTTCTTCATGGGCATTCCTATAATCTTGATTGGCAAACACGGTTTCTCATTGCCTTTGGTGCTGCACAAGGTCTCTCTTATTTGCACCATGATTGTAAGCCTCGAATTATTCATCGTGACATAAAATCCAATAACATACTACTAGATGAGAATTTTGAGTCTCATGTTGGAGATTTTGGCTTGGCAAAAGTAGTTGACATGCCATATTCTAAGTCAGTTTCTGCGATTGCTGGATCATATGGATACATTGCTCCCGGTATGTTCTTTCTCCATTATTATTTCTTTCTTTTTCATAGCATATATAATTACATGTGTTTGTACATTGGTAAATTTTTTTTGCTAGTATCCTGTTATAATCTCTGTATAAACATTTACTGCATCATATTTGCTGATGCAAAATTTTTCCTTTTAATTTCAGAATATGCATACACTATGAAAGTCACAGAAAAATGTGACATATATAGCTACGGCGTGGTCATGCTGGAGCTGTTGACAGGAAAAACCCCTGTACAGCCAATCGACGATGGGGGTGATCTGGTTTCGTGGGTCAGAAACTATGTCAAGAAGAACTCATTATCGACTGGTATTTTTGACACTAGATTAAACTTACAAGATGATAGTGTTGTTGCTCATATGACAATGGTCTTAAAGATTGCTTTGTTGTGTACTAGTATGAATCCTCACGACCGCCCCACAATGAGGGCTGTTGTGTCAATGCTCATTGATTCTAATGATCAAGAAGGTCACTATAATCTCTTCCCAAGTAGGGATGTAAGTTATAAAGACGAACCATTAGAGTCGTAGATTTTTACTCTTTTTTCAGATCAGATTTTCTTTTGTATCTAGAAATTATAGTTGTTTAGCAGGGCAGAATATCCTTGTATCAATTACAATAAGCGGCTAAGCTATCCAAAAAAATTGTATATATATGAAATAATGAGGTCCATATTGCTTGAAAATTCAGCTTATTAACAAGATTACATCTTACATTATCTTCAACTCTTCCTTTCTGGCTTCTGTTTGTTTATCTAATGTTTTGTAGCTTGATAAATTCTTCTTAATAAATACTTCGAATTATGTAAGTAAGAATTTCGGCTCCAATCCGTGGATCAAAAGGTATGACTAGCACTCTTGTGGTATGTTTTTCAAATTTTTTTCACTTATTTCACGAAAATTAAGTAGAGTTCAAAAAATAGTTGAATTGATACTTGTATACTTAATACAATTCGTACCTACATATCTAGTAATCATCATGATACAATATTTCATTTTTATTAAATGCTGCTTCTTTAAGATTTCCTTTCCCTTTGGACAATTGAGATCTTGTTTGGATTTTGGATAGAAAGATGAAGTCATTTTGACTATATTTAACTAAGAAGAAATCTCAAAAGGAGATTACTTTGTAACCAACAAAGTGGAAAACCATGTGCCAAATAAAATTAAGTAAACTAATGAACAAATTTGTATAGCGGTAATCCATTATAACATTTTCCTTGAGTGGAATGAGATCAACCACCATGTCATTCTAAAAAAGATGAAATCATGAATGAAGTCATGTTACATTCTCTTTGTAAAGTACCATTAAATTAACACAAACTATATAATATAAATATATATCAGCTTTTATACTACCTAAGGTATGTCCATAGTTTAAAAATAGCACAAAACAACCCATCAACTTTTTAGGAAACAAAATAATATTCCAATGGCTAGTGAAAAGGTGAAGCTTTTAGGAAGATGGGCAAGTCCCTTTAGCCATAGTATATTCAAAGATTGCTCTAAAACTTAAGGGTATCCTTTAAAACATAGAAGAATGGAGTACCTTACTAACAAGAGCCTTTGACGCAACTCTTAGAGTACATGTACAACCATATTAACAAAAAGATACCTATTTTGGTTCATAATGGTAAGCCAATAGTAGAGTCACTCATAACATGGGAATAATATCCCCTGTTGCCTAAGGAACCTTGGGAGAAAGCTAATGCCCTTTACTTGTCAATTTTGATATATACTTGTCTATGGTAAGCTAGTTCTATCGCGACAAAAGGCCTTGTGGGGTGATGAGAATGCATTAAAGAAGCAATGGAGTGCTTAGGGTGGCTTGAAATGAGCTTAGTGTTACATATGAAGTTTTTTGGTGGTGAAAAGATTGGGTTTGTTGATATAGATGTAATGGAATAGGGTTTTGGGTTGGGGTGCAAGAGGAAGTCACAAGAAAAAACTAAAAGGATAATTGGTAAAGGAAAGATTTTTACTTTTGAGGAATTGGGCTGAGGAGTTTGTTAAGTTTAGTGTTGTAAATGTTTACCTCCTAAATTGAAGTTGATTGGATTGTACCAAGCATGCATGTATTAGTTAAGAGCTTTTTGTGTGTGTTTTTGCTAGCTTGAAGAAGCTTCCAACATCAACTAAACAACATAAATTAGACCCTTGAGTCTATAAGCAACATAATTTTCACATGAGCCTAAAGAAAACAAGACTCACATGAAAATTCAACTTAAAATACCTAGCACATAAGGAGGAGAAATACCCAATAAATCTCTCCTTCACTCTTCAGCGGACAATCATTAAGAAATTGATTTTTTCGTAGTCAAAAACTTATTTTACTCTATTTATTTTGATAAATTAGGTTATAGTCGTGAGAGAAATTGTACTTTATCCTTATTGTAACCTTTGTTTTATTAAAAAAAAAAGTTTTTAGACACGTAGAGTTATTACTCTTATGCTAATATTTTTTTTTTGGGTGATTGCAAATAAAATGTTGTACTTCACACTATATAGAGTTATGCATATTTGGCAACAAATAATTAGGAGAGATGTACATGTAATTACTGCACTCTTAAAATAGTGTTACAATACAAATATTATGAGCAATTGTAATAGCCTCAAATACAATTTTTTTCGTAGTTGGCAAAATCACCAATTTTTTTTTTTATTTTTTTTTTATTTTTTTTTTGGAGTAAAACGTGAGCCGAAAATATTATTGCAAATTAAGTTCCGCCAAAGAAAAGAAACTTTGGGGTTAAGAAACAAAGAGTTCATACTAATGTGTTCGGAGCTATCAATAGTATCCTGTCTAGCAATAAGATGAGCTATGGTATTCCCGACTCTCTTACCTTGATATGATAGGTAATAAGAGCGAAGGAAATAATCACCATCTTTTAAATTTGATCCATGATATTATAAAGCTTCATAAATTTTAAAATTAAATAATTCAACATACATAAATATTAAATATAGATTCGCTATAATGCCAATAGATATAATTCTTATGAAATTATGATACTCGGTATTATTTTCACCCATAAACTTGCACCATTTCACTCATGGGAATAACTTTCAACTTGCAAAGATAATATGGAATTTATTCTTTAAATGTCAACATTTTAATTTTAAAAAATAAGGGAATTTATTTTTGTGGAGGAAAAAAAGACAAAAAATAGGAAAACATAGTACAAAAATACAAAATCGAACTCCTTTACGAAGATTCATACGAAGTACTCGACAAAATTTTGTGTTTATACAAAGCCTAGTACGTATGTAATTCAGGTAACACCAACACTATCAATCTTTCTCCACCCTACACGTGTACGCCCCCGATTTCTCCTTCTTCTTCCTTAAATTTTCCATTTTCTCTCTCCTCTTTTCCTTCCGACAAATGGCGTCATTTTACTCTCTTCCCCTGGCTCTCACACCATCTTCACCTCTTTCCTAAAACTTCCATCTTTATCTTTTTTTTCTTTGTTTTTCCTTATTTTTATCAGAGATTCTGTAAGTTTTTAGTGCATAATTTATGGATTTATTGATGAATTTATGGAATTTATAAGTGGGGTTTTTGTTTTTTTGGTTAATTTGTTTGTGATCATTTTGTTGTTGTTGTTGTTGTTGTTGTTGTTATTAGGGTTTCGGAATCAACGATGATTTCGTTGCGAAGCGAATCGCGGCAACGGCTTCATAATAATAGTAATAATCATAATAAGAGTGAATTGCAGTTGGCGAATTTGGCGTTTGATGTTTCTTCTTCTAATGTTAATTTGAACCATATTAAGGGAGCTGAGTCTCGTGAAGGTTTTCTTCTTCCTCCAATATTTGTCAATTTTTTCGCTGTTAATGAATTAATTATGATCTCTGAATTCTGGTTTTTTTTTTTTTTAATTTTTTTTTTTTTGGGGGGGGGGGGGGGAGGGGGTATTGTTGTGAATCTTGTGATGATTAATAGTATATTTGTTTCATGTTTCGGGTGTGTATAGAGAGTCGCGAAGGGCAGTGATGTAGACGAGAATTGATGTTATGTTATGAGGACGATTCCATTACGTAATACTACCTCCGTTAATAGTTATTTGCAACTTTGTTTGTGTGATATAAAAAATTTTAAAGTTGCAAATAACCATTAATAGAGGTAGTACTTTAATCACTAATCTTGCCACTATCCTTATAATTGATAGTGTAAGAACTAAGAAGTTTAATTTCTTTATTGTAATAATATTTCAGGTGATGAATTAATAATATTTTTTTTTTTGACGGGGAATTAATGATATTCTTGGCACTTAAATTGGATAGTACCCCTGTCCTAATTTGATCGTCACACCATCCTTTTTATATGGCTTTATGTGATAAGTTGTTTTAATTGGATGAGAGAGGGTGCGGAACCATAACTATTGGTGGTGGGAATATTTAGGTAATTAAATATTAGTGAATCGTGCCGGGAAAAGAAGAGTGACATCTAAATTGGGACAGAAAGAAAAGAGTGACAATTAATACGGGACAGAAGGAGTATGAATTATGATGCAAAGGGGTCATTGTATATGAATGAATTTAAATAATGTATGATGTACCAGGGTGGATTGTGTGATATTTCTGAATCTTGGACATCTTGTGATGTTTCTTCAAAAAAAAGATTCAAGCTTTTCATTGTTTACTAGCTATTTTTACAAAATGTATATCAAAGTTGTGGAGAGAGTGTGTTTTTGGGATGTTGAATAATTGAGGTTAGTGTCTGAGTTGGAAGCCTATTATTGGATGGGCTTCTTGCTCACTGGTATTCTGGGAACTAATGCCAAATTTAAAGCCAGTCTATGATGCTTCAATTTGTGGGTACTGGGTAGGTGAAGGAAGATTGCATTATTCACGATTATGTTGTGCTAACATTCACTTAAATATTAATGGATTGGATGTAGAAGAAGACATGTTGCTGGGTGCTGCACACCAGTTGTACAAGAGTGGTGACTATAAGCAGGCTTTGGAGCATAGTAATACTGTCTATGAGAGAAATCCGTTACGGACCGACAATCTTCTTCTTTTGGGTGCTATACACTATCAGGTTATTGTTCTTCAATATTGGTCGTGTTTCTAGTTCAAATTTTAAATAGACTTCAGCTGGTCCTTACCATTTGTTTTGCCATTTTGCAGCTGCATGATTTTGATATGTGCATTACTAGAAATGAAGAGGCTATACAAATTGAGCCCCATTTTGCAGAATGTTTTGGCAACATGGCAAATGCATGGAAGGTGTTTATAATGCATTGACATGAGATCTATTAACGCTTTAAATATATATAATGGCTGGAATGGCTAATGGACTTCAATTCTTGGTTTCTTTATGCTTCTTACAGGAAAAAGGAAATGTTGATGTTGCAATCCGCTACTATTTAATTGCTATTGAGGTATGTTCTTAGTAGCATATCTAATATATGCATATTATGCTATGCGGCTGATCAGGCTGACCTTTGATTTGTTTTGAAATGGAATTTTGTTTTTAATTATGGTTGGTTTCAAAGTGGAAGCACAGTTGTGTTTAAAGGAATATCCAGTCCAGCCTATTTGTGTTTAACATAAACCAATATAAATGTTGATATTAAAGTGACCAAGTCGAATCTTGTTTTTTTCCCCAAAATTTTATTATAGTCTCATTTTCTTGTTCCTAACGTTCAATGATTTTTTTTTTAATACATTATGTTTACAGCTCAGGCCAAATTTTGCGGATGCCTGGTCG